TCTAAGTCATGTCTTCATGTCTTCCACAACTTTGATCAAGTGGATCAAAATTGGTTCTCCTTCTTTCAAGCCCATCTTGAGTGTTGGGCTTTTGCTAACATCATTCTAGGTGGATTTCACCAATCCTCGCATTGCTTCTTTAATCTTCTTGGCTCTTGATCTTGTAATTAGCTCATCTAGACTTGCAAAGGATCTTTAAGAGTAGGCCGCCTTGGTTCTCATCATTCCCTCTTTCCTCAAAAAGATTCGTCCTTGAATCTTCATCAACATCTAAAGGAGAAAGATCAAAAATATTGAAGGGAAAAAAAAATTGAATTTTCTGCTCTTTTTTTTTTCTTCTATTTTTTTTTGGGATGAATTTTTTTTTCACCAACTGATTTGATCACAAACTAGATAGTAAACACTTGACAAAACCCTAACAAAAACCCTAGAACAATAAATTTTTTTTTTTTGGCAACCACACAAAACCCTAACAATTTCGGTAGCCTTTTTTTTTTTTTTAGTGAACCCTAGAATCAATTATGCAAGAAATAAAAGGATAGGATATGACCTGATTGGAAACCTTGCTTTGATACCAAATGATGTGAACCCCAATTAACTTGCTTTGAGACCCAACAACAATGTTGGAAAAACAACCCAAGAAAACCAAACTCAGGTCTATGGATGGAGAATGTAAACCTATTGAGAACTCGTTTCAAGAACCTAAGTTATATTAAAATATAGACCCGTTAAAGAACCCGTCTCAAGAACCCAGATTACAAGGAGGAATGTCACAAAGATTGTGATTTACCCTTAATAAGTTCAAAAGTTCAATCAAGAACAAGAGGAGTAAACTCAACTCAACTCACAATCAAAATTCATTATATATTGTCTCCTCTTTTTTATTGATAGAACACCTATTTATAGGATGGCCATTACAACAAAAATTCCAATAATCCTAATCTACTAAGGAAACAAATCTCATAATCTACTAAGGAAACAGATCTCCTAATCTTCTAAGGAAATTAATCTTAATCTAAATAGGAATAACTAAAGACTAAAATTTGTGACCCTTTTTCTCAAAAAAAATTCCCTTGAGTGAATAGTGTCACGGGGTACTGTAGCATGAACAGTACCGTACTACAGTACTTATTTTGAACCCTAGTTCAAATAAAATAATAAGACATATGTGGACTAAGCATCATCAAACCCACTTATTCTAAATTAATAATAAAAATTCTTTAAACAAATTGAAAACCTTAACAACAAAAGGCCCTATCTCTAAGTCATGTCTTCCACAACTTGGATCAAGTGGATCAAAATTGGTTCTCCTTCTTTCAAGCCCATCTTTAGTGTTGGGCTCTTGCTAACTTCATCCCAAGTGGATTGCACCAATCCTTTCATTTCTTCATTGATCTTCTTGGCTCTTGATCTTATAATTGGCTTATCTAGACTTGCAAATGATCTTTAAGAGTAGGTCACCTTGGTTCTCATCAGAGACAGTGTGAAGTCTATTCAATTTGATTTATCAAACAACTGAATAGTTCAAAATATCACGTTCATTATTTAGTCGATAAGTCCGATAAGCTTTCACTAGGGAAGGTTTAAGGTCAAAAGCTATCTATCTTGATACACGATCTTTGCAAAGATGTACTCTCTATAGTGTGTCAGCATTATCATTTGCATACTAACAGTCAATTTTTCAATCGTGTGGGGGATTGTTAGAGCAAAATAGTTTTTAAGTGTAAAAAATAAATTTTTGGTCAACTTTGAAACTAAATTAAAGTGGGACTCGTTTATTTTTTCAAGTAAACTTTTGTGAGTTCGTATTCTACTACATGAGGAGAATAATGTAGTATATTCACTTGCTCAAATCGAGTAAAAAATGAATGAAAAAATAGGCTCCAAAATGAACCTCTTGAAATGTGAAAATTAAGGTTGTATAATGTGGAATTTGACATCAATCTCACATTGGTTGAGGAAAAAATTCTCCGTAGACATATATAGCCCAAGTTTGCTCTATGGGACTGGGCCCCAATGAGTATCACAATTTTATGAGCAGAGCGAGCGCCTACATGCCTTCGATTTTACCACACACACACGTGCGTTGCCCGCCCACCTCGCCTCGCCATGCCACGACTCGACCTGATCCGGCAGGGCTTGGGTGCGGGTGTGGTTTAGACCAAACTTTATCTTTTTGAAAAAAATTTGTTTAATTAATTGGGCGTGAATTTCTTAATTCAAAATTTAATTTTTGTTATCCATTGGATCGCACTGGTTCAAATTTTTGCTTCCCTCTAGTCTGAAAATTGAGTTGTGTTTGTTCATACAGAACATCTATACAAGTGGTGTCTACTAGTTGTTGCATTTGTCTTTTGGGTTGTGTCTTTTAGTATGGTGGTTGTCCGAAAAATCGTCAGAATGTCTATAAATACCTAGGTTCTCATTACCATTCTGCATTCATTCATTCATCAGTCCATATTCAGGGTTAAGCCAGACATTACCATTGTATTTCGACATTAAGGCAATCTGCATTTGGAGAGTACACAACACAATTTTTGGTTCGTTGAACGAATAGATTAGAGTGCTACTTCTACTTCTACTTGTGTAAAGATCATTGTATTTTGGGAGGCAGACGCTTGATATTCCATAAGTATCATGTGTGGGGACGAAATCTATCTTAAGGAGATAGTGTCAAACACTAGCCTTGATCTACTTAAAGTTCAATAATAGTTCATGTTCTGTAAACGGGTTAGTATTTATATTGGTTAAACAAACAGTTACATGTAACTATTTCAGTAATATTGTTGTAACTGTTTCATTATTTCTTTGTAACTGTGTCTGTATTCTGTATAACTGTTTCACACTTGATGGTTTCTTTTTTGTTATACATTACATGTTTCAAATTAGAAATTTCAATAAGTGATTTTACTATGTTTAGAATACCACAAACAACAGATGTTTTCTGTTTGTTTTTATTAATAAGGAAACAAAACCGTTTTGAGAAAGTTAAAGATGGCTTCGCAACCCAACTCTTTCATTTCTTTTTTTTTTTTTTTTTTTTGTTTTTGTTTTTTTGTTTTTTATTTCATGCGTGTGTTCTTAAAGTTTCTTCCTTCGATTGTCCTGAAAATGAAAATGTTTGGACCGATTAGGCAATTACTATCTTTGCATAATTTTTTTTGTGCCGGCTTCATAGCCTCATAGAAATTAGACTAGGACCATGCTTATTTTGGTACCATATTTCGCATAGTTAAGTAAAAGGGTTGGACTACTTTGGTGTAGCGTTGTTCCACTATGAATTTTTTGTCAAGGGTTCGAGTCGTGAAAATAATTTCTCTACAAGTAGATTCAAGACTATATACATCTTATTTTCTCCGGACTCTATAATAATGGGAGTTCTTTGCATTGGCCGTCTTTTTTTTATCTCTTGCAGTTAAGTAGTTGAGCTACACTTTCATCATGATGTATCGTCCCTCAAATCATGTAAATTGTGGGAGGACAAGACTTTAAATTGTTGTTTGTTACAATTATCACCGGATGTTTTGAAGTTGGTTTGTTGCTTTGGAAGTTGTAACAGCACTATCTTTAGAATTTGTAACAAAGGAGGTACAATATTGAAATTATCATGTTTTTGGGGTTAAAATACATATTAGGATTGATCTTAATATATTAAAATTGATTTTAAAATGTTAAAAATTGATTTTAAAATATTTAATATCTATTCTAGACGTTAGGATTGATCATAATATTTTGGATTTTGTACGTTATTAAGATTTTCACTTTATACCTTCAAAAATTAAATTTTTCGCATTGTGCCATCACTGTATTAAAAATATTACAATGCGATTATTTTGTTAACTTTCATTATTTTTTTAGTCAAAAGTAAACCTATTAACACATATGGAAAAAACTAGTAAAAAGTTAATAAAAATGTTACATTGTAATATTTTTAATATATTGAAGATGTAATGTAAAATTTTAAATTTATAAGAGTACAAAGTGAGAATTTTAAAATCGTTCAAAATACAAATTACAATTCACTCTCTTTGGGAGGTTCATCTATATGATTGTTTTTATTTTTTTTGGTTTTTGTAGGGGCCTGGTGAGATTCGTACGCAGGATTTTTAGGATCGGATATCATGTTAAATAATCATTACTCTAAAAATTTAAACTATTAGAGACTGGTGAAATATAAATATTTATTAAATAGCTTTTGGTGCAAATAGAGAACGTCGGTGGACACGTTACAAAGATTTTTCCCCATATATAGAATTGCAATGTGGCCTTAGGTAGACAATACCGAAAGCTTAGAATTGCCCACCTGCCTATTATAGTTCCAAATAGGGGCAGTAAATGTACGAATATGTTGTATCTTGCCGTGTTATCAAGTTTTTAAAATTATATCGTATTAAAATTTATTTAATATATACTTCACCCATTGTTAACATGATGTAAGAGGATGTTGACATGGTGTAACCATTCAATAAAAAAAGTAAAATAGAGCTCACTTCCTTCCTATTATAGAGGTGGTTATTTATAACAGGACCGGGTGGTTAAGAGTTTTGGTTGAATTCATTTGGTGATTTGTTTATTTATTAGTAGACCGTTACACTACTAATATTGCGTAATGATTACACCCAATATTTTTTCGCTTTTAATAGGGTATTATGTATGGATCCATTCTTCAAACGAGTCTGAAAGATGAACTCGTCAATACTAAACTCGTACCCATTACCTGTGTTAATTTGATGGATCTAGTTAAGAATGAGCAGCCAGGGAGTGGCTGATCAAGTGGGGGCAAGCAAACAAGTATTGTATAGTCGATGACCCCAAAAGTCACGTACAGCACAATAATGGCCATTCATTTCTCATCCTGATAAATCTTCAACAATAATGGCGTTTCAATTGTCATCCAGAATTCAAAACATGAGCTGTGTACTCTATATCAAGCTCATTGGTGACCTGCCAAGCACATAAATTTAGCAAAACTCCCAAAAAAAAAAGTGAAAGAGAAAAGAATGAAACCCAAGAGGGTGTGCCTTTTCATCTCCATAGCTGTTGTACTAATTGTGCTCAGCACAAATATTCAAACAGCTGATTGTTCAGAGATCAAAAAAGGAAGCTCTTGGTGCAATGGAACCATCACAGACAGCACTGAAGAAGACGACCAAGAGTTCCTAATGGAGTCAGAAGTGAGCAGAAGGATTCTTCTAAACAACAACAAAATCAGTAGCAAATCTCTCAAGCAAACATCAGCTGTATGTGACACAGATAGGTATGGCAATTGCATAGGTCCGATGGGCAAATACAGTAGACCTTGTACGTACGAAAATCGATGTAAACGCGGTCCCTAGCCATGATCATAACGAAGGAGAGATACATGTGCTGTAATTAAATCTCTCAGACGAAACAATGATCTTGCTATGTGTTCTCTTTTTCATCCCTTTATTTTTATCGGTAACCTTGTTATGATTGTAGTTAATGCAAAATTCTCCCTCCATATACTAAAGCCACTGACATATCCGTTGATTTGGTCTTCCAAAATCCATTCTCTAAACAGTAGTCTATGCTGTGGTAAGATAGCACTTGTTCAAATTATTTTTTTGTCCATATTTAAGTATCACGTGACAAGTTTATAGTAAAAAATTATTAATAATCTGAATATTGTCTATTTGAGGGACCATATAAAAACATATTCAATATTTCAGGGATCAAAATTATGCAATTGAAACATTAGGGACCAAAATGAGATAAGTTTTATACTTTAGGGACCTCTAATGCAATTAACCTTTTCAAATTTGTTTTAATTAAACATAATTATTGAGGTATTTTTGACAATGAAGATTAAAATGAACTTAATATTAAACAAATTTTCTTGATGGACTTATCATCAAATAAGTTTACAAAGGAGGACTAGCCTCCAAATTTTCCAAAAAAAAAAAAAATGACCATTGAAAATTAGGTGGAATATTCCTTTAAAAAAAAGAGTAATTTATTTGAATACTAAGTTGAGCAATCTAGGGTATTATTCATTATTTAAATACTAAATAATTCATCTCAAATAAAATTATTTATTATTTGCTTTTTGTTCATTTTGATTTTACTTTTAATTCAAAAATACAATTTACAAAAACAATTAGTTGGAAACTTTTTAAATGAAGATGTATATAATTGAAAAAAAAAAAAAAGTCCACCCATTGAGTGGAGGGTTGGGTTGCAGGTAGTCTACCCTTATCCAAAACCCAGTCAATCCAGCCAATAACTCACCCATGTAAAGACTTAGACCTATCTTATGTCTGCGAAAAATTTCACGGCCTAGCCCCCGCCCATGGACTTGTAACTTTGAAAGTATAAGGTCTGGGTATCCAGCTTGACTCTAAGACTTTGCCCATTTCCAATTCTCCAATGCATTCCTACATCCACTACTTGTCTTGAAGCCAAGATGCTACGCCAAGTGAGCGCAGGATATGACCCTAGTTGTGCCTCCATATAGTAGAAGTAGGAAAATGCTTAGCCTTTAAAACTTTGAAAAGCATCGAGTAAAGATGTTGTACTAATCTCCTGAATTGCTTAGCCAGCATTCCTAGATTAAAGGCTTCTCAGTCTCGGAATCCTAAACCTCATTGGGATTTTTCAAGATAAATCTTATTCCAAACCATCCAATGAATCTTTGACATAACATAAGTGGGTATTACTTGTCCCACAACTTTAATAAGAATTTCTTTTCTAGCAACACATAATAATTTATCTTTCCATCCTTGCACTTTGGACCATACCTTTTGTTAAATAGAATGACAAATTTCCTTTTTTGACCAACTACTGAGGGTAGGCCCAAATATTTTTCATGATGGGAAACCTCATGGACTTGTAGCTTCTCATCTCGACCGACATTCATCAGATTTTGACTAGTTAATCTTTTGTCTCGAAGCCCTCTCATATAAACGAAGACATTCCTTTTAATAGCTAAAGCGTTTTGTTCATCTACTTATGCAAATAGAAGACTGTCATTGGCAAAGAGTAAAGGAGAGAAAATTGGACCTCCGCGACCAGCAAATAATCCCTTTATTGCACCGTTTGCTTCTGCCATTTTTAGCAATGATGAGAGTCTTTCCGAACACAAGAAGAAAAGATAAGGCTACAGCAGATCACCTTATCATAGCCCTCTCTGTGCATGGAAGTATCCCATTTGTTCGCCATTTATTACAACAAAATATGAGATAATATTTGTTGGGATTGAATACAATTTAAACTCACAGACAAACACACACAATCGAAAAACAAATCAAGAATATAAAGCAATAAAAAACAAGAAAGAACAAGACACAAAAATTTTACGTGATCCGGCAATTTGTCTACGTCCACGAAGTTGCAGGATTTTCACAATTGAGAGAGAGGACTATAGAAAGCGGCTATACACTTCGATAAAACTCTAATCACCAAAGTAACGGTCTTTTATATGTCCTACGTACCGGACTACAAAACAAGCCCAAAAATTCTCCCACTTTGAGACTAGTTCAAACACCAACATCAAACCGTAATCCTCCCAAAAACAATCTCTCATCCCCTACAGCTCTTCCTCCTCTCCTCAAGCTGAGAGACCCACAGAAGCTGAAGAAGACTTCAGCTTCTCCACAGTAACCACTTTCGTGAACATGTCTGCCGGATTATCCTTATGTGAATCTTCTCCAAAGTGAACTCTCCATCCTCCAACAAAGAGTGAATAAAGTGATATTTTATGTTGATATGCTTGGTCCTCGAATGAAAGGCTGCATTCTTTGCCAGATGTATAGCACTCTGACTATCGCTGAACAATTTAGAATTGTTTTGCTCCTTACCCAACTCTTTCATGAAGCTCCTCAGCCATACCATCTCCTTGCATGTCTCCGTGGCTGCAACATACTCCGCCTCTGTTGTTGAAATAGTCGCTATTTTCTGTAACCTCGAAACCTAACTGACTGCTGCATTGCCCAATGTAAAAACATACCTTGTAGTGCTCTTCTTGCTATCAATGTCCCCTGCTAAATCAGAATCTACAAACCCTTGCAAACAAACATCGGAACCCCTAAAATTCAAAGTCAAATCTGAAGTACCTCAAGTAGCGCAGAATCCACTTGACTGCTTCCCAATGCTCCTTACCCGAATTTGTCATGAACCTGCTAACAACTCTCACTGCATGAGCAATATTTGGCTTTGTATTAACCATAGCATACATCAAACTGCCTACTACCGAGGCATACGGAACCTTTGACATATAGTTCTGCTCTTCATCTGTTACTGCACACTTTTCCTTCGAAAGCTTGAAGTGACTTGCCAAAAGTGTGCTAACTGGCTTAGCACTCTCCATGTTAAACCTTTTCAGCACACTTTCAACATACTCCTCCTGTGACAACTTTAACTTCATGTTTGCTTTGTCCCTACTAATTCGCATCCCAAGAATTTTCTTCGCAGAGCCCAAATCCTTCATTGCAAACTCTTTTGACGGTTGTGCCTTGAGATTAACAATCTCATCCATGTTTGAACCTGCAATAAACATATCATCTACATACAACAAAAATATGAGATATGATGTACCAAACTTTTTAATGTAACAACAATGGTCCCCATGACATCTAAACCCCGTAGCTGCCATAAAGGTATCAAACATTTTATACCATTGTCTCGGAGCCTGTTTCAACCCATATAGACTCTTCCTCAACTTGCACACCTGATTCTCCTTGTCTTTCACAACATAACCCTCTGGCTGATACATATAAATGTCTCAAGCCTTCGCTCCATGGACCAAGCCTCAGAAAATGTTCTATTAAAAAACCATACAAAATTACTTCGAGTTGGGTCATCATCCGGATCAACATACAAACTAGACTTCATAAAAGGCCCAACAATATTCACACAAGTTTAGTCAAGGACAGAGTCAGAAATCATTTGTAGAGGGGGCAACTTTAGACTCATTAATAAATTAAAATTATAATAGTAATATTATCATTATTTTCATGAAAATTTTAATTCTAAAAACTTTTATAGGGATATTGTTATAGAGAAATGTTAAGTTGAGGTGCAACCTATGTACACAAGTGATGTATGAATCCAGCCAACAAAAAATTAATAAATGTTCAATTGAACAGTAAGTCTTGAATTATCATTGTCAACTAAGAAGGAAAATGAGAGGAAATAAGGATTGGATAGAATTTAAAAATCATTTATTTTTGAATTCAGTTTGTAAAAAACGTTTGCTAATTTTAATTTTCAAATGCATTGATAGGGCAATTATCATCATACGTGCATCACACTTTTGTTTAGAGAGGCGGATAGAAAAAAAAAAAAAAAGCGACAGTACATAAAGCCATAACTTTTATTAGCATGAAAAACACAACACACATAGATGGAAACTATTTTATGCCAAAGCATAGAATTCATAACTTCCACCGGACAACAAACACAATAAAACATAGACAAGATACATACAATCGACATTATTTGATGCCAAAGCATAGAATCCACAACTTCCACCAGACAAAAAACACAACAAAACATAGACAGAAATGATGAACTTTATTTTAAGATAAAAATACTTAGATCATTGTTTGCTAGTCAACGTACACGTAAACCTAGCAACACGACCCAACGCATACCCTGACCAAAATGCCAATGAGAAGGCAGATATAGCTAGAACAATAAAGTCGTTCAGGGTATCGCATACAGAACTGGGACAGCCATCATCCCTACAGAGTCCACCTTCCAACATTATCCTTAAAAGGGAAGTCCTGAGGATATTGGTATATGTGACTCCATTAGCAGTACAGGGAAGTTCATTCGTACAATGGACAAAGAAGAACGAAGAAGATGTGGCCATAAACACAATGGCCACCACCAACACAAAAACAACAACCCTCTTAGTACTCTAAATACAATTATCTTTATCAAGTACCTAGCTTTCTCTATTGCTTTGCTCACTGAATGTATGTTGTGTGTATGCTTGACGCCCCAATTCTCAGGGGTCCTTATTACATGTTAAGCCTCATTAATTTACTTAAGGCCTTGGTCCCAGTGGACCAATTCCAACAAAATTCAGGCGAAATCTCCTTTGTACGAAAAGCTCTACTCAAAACACAACTAGTCTCAAGGTAATTACAATGACCTTCCAAGATCCCATGTAAACATTTATACTATTCTCATGCCTTAAATATCAACCAACAACTCTAAATGTACAAATCATTCATTTGTCAAAAATATAGATACAAATGCCCCAAATTACTTGCTTTTACAAAAGAATATACATGTGTTATATAATTCCAAAAATACAAGGCTATCTAAGTAACTACAATTGGGACTAAGTATCTATACATCAAAATAGGAGCTTGGATTTTGACACTTTCATCAAGCTGAGCCCGCATGTGGACGATCCGCAGAAACATGCACCGTACCTGAAAATGTTTTCCCACAACAAGGTGAGCCAAAGCCCAATGGGGTATATCTTCTAAGAAGTACACCTCCAAACACAATGGTGCA